TCGCAACTCAAAGCAAAAAAATCGGCCGAGAGAATGGCTCGTATCTCGAAAAACTCGTTAGTCGGGACACTCGTAAGTCAAGGCCCCCACTGTACATGGTTCTGGAAGGAGCTCGCAGACAATGGGACTCGGTGTCCTGCCACAGCCAGCAGACAGCGTCTCTCCAGCTCATCATCTCTCAGGCCCAGGCCAGGGGACCAGCCACCTCCTTCCCCCTCTCCCTCCCCGATGGAATTCTGACGCCTCAGGGGGGCTGAGCAGCCCGCCTTTCCATGGAGACTAGCCCAGTGCTGAGCCCTTTGCCAAGGGTGAGTCCCACCTGGACACCCAGGAGGGCAGACGCCCCCTTTCCTGGTCTCTGCAGGCATGAGGGTGGGGAGCCCCGTGGCTGAGACGGGGCTCCCACTGGGGAAAAACAGGGGGTGAATGTAACCTCCGTGTGAACCGGTTGAGTCCCAGAGAACCACCCACAGCAGCCGGGACACGCACAGCAGCCAGTCACTGTCTCTAATACCTGCGAGTCAGCCCCCACGGCTGGTGCCCCTGAGGTCCCCTGCTCTCAGCCACTGGACACAGCAAAGGGCACCGTGCCCTGTAGGGGCCACCGGTCCCTCTGGCCCGGGGCCACTGGCCTCGGGAAGGTCCCAGGACCCGTGTCCCTGCCCTTGTGCCCTCAGAGCCTCCCCATCCCCAGCAGCAGGTACACGCTCACCGCGTGAGGGCGATTTTCCGAAAGCCACGTGTCCTCTAAGTGGACTGATTATCAAACATCCCTCGGAGACACGGTGACGGCTCTCGCACAGGAAACCCAACGCTGCCCATTTGAGGCTTTTATCGGGTGCTGCTTTCTTTGGAAAATAAAATTAAGAACAGCACTTTTTAAAAGCACATTTATTCATGAGCTCCATTAGCATAAATACTGCAAAGCTCATGTTCACGCACGGAGACAGCGTCTTTGTGAAAAGATGTGGTGAGGAGTCTTGGTAGGAGGGGTGCGTGCACTGAACGAGCATTTAAATGACACTCTTTCCAAATAGCAAAGCAGGCGGGTCCTCGAAACACCCATCAGAAAGAATGGGTGCCCCCATGTCCATAGCAGCACAATTACAATAGCTCAGATCTGGACACAGCCCACGTGCCCATCAGCAGATGAGTGGATAAAAGCCGTGGTACATCTACACCATTGGATACTACGCAGCAGTAGAAAAGAAGGATTTCTCACCCTTTGAGACAGCCTGGAGGGACCTGGAGAGTATCATGCTAAGTGACATAAGCCAGTCAGAGAAAGACAAGTATCACATGATCTCATTCATGTGTAGAATCTAATGAAAAAAATAAACTGATGAACAGAGTGGACCCAGAGACATGGAGCATGGAACAGACTGAGGAATCTCGGAGGGAAGGCGGGGAAGGATGGGTGGGTGGCCATCAGCCCGAGACTTTGTGTGCACCTAAGCATGGCCCATGGAACCAGACAATAGGGTGCTGAAGGCCTGGGGTAGGGGTGGGGCGGGCTGGAGGGGGTCGATGTGGGGAAAAAGGGAACATATGTAATACTTTCAACAATAAAGATTTTTTAAAAAGGAGAAGAAACAGGCGGGTCCTTAGGACCCAGCCAGGCTCACAGCAAGCCCTGCGCGTCCCATCTGCCCCACCAGGGACGCTGTGGTAGCGATGAACCCCTCCCCACCCCATCGCATCCCCCGCAGCCCATGCTCAGGGTGGCAACCTAGTCCCTGTCCTTACAGGCGTGGAGAGAGCCGGGCGGCCTGTGGTCAGGAGGGCGAGGGCACCGTCGGGGGAGTTCCCTGTCCTGAGCGGCCCACAGCTGTCCTGGGAAGGGGCCACGTGTTCCTTTCAGAGAATCGGCAACTCCCAGTCTTCTCGAGGGCACCCAGGCCCCAGAGAAACCTTTCCTCGTCCCTCTCACTACATTACGTCCTTAACGGGCCCATTCACAGAGGGGAGTCTGACCACCGGGAAGCAGCAGCCAAGCTCCCAGGATACCCTGCGTGCTGCTCACGGCATCCGCTCGCTCCCCATCCAGCTCCGAGGGCAAGCGAAGGGACATGGGGCGGGGGCCTGGCCACCCACCCAACCGCTGATCAGGCCACCTGCCCCCGGGACAAGGGCCTCTGACCCCCCGTGGCCACGGCCCAGAACTAACAGGAACACTAAGCCTGCTCCTAAGGCTGAGGGCCTGGAAGCCGTCACTGAACGGAGAAGGCGACACTGCCAGTGGATCGCCCGTCAGCCGCCCGGCGCCCTGCACAGGAGAAGTGTGCTGTGAGGTGCGGCTCTCACGGCCACTGTCGCCTCTAATTGAGAGCTGAGCCACGTCCATACACGCCTGGGCCACAGGTTGGGAAGACACCGCGCTCCATTCTCCCTGCCTTACACCCACGGCCGCGCCGGGAGCAGGTCCCACAACCTCCCCAAGTTCAGGGCCCGTCCAAACTCTGACGGGCTTCTCCCCGCCTCCCTTCCTGTACTCCCGGTTTAACTGTCGGCCAGGGGGCTGTGCCTCGAGGGCACACAGCCAGGGTCAGCCCCACCCAGAGACAGGAAGAGCTCTCCAGTCACTGGCCATGTCCCCATCTGCCATGACAGCCCCACCCTCACTTGCCATCACCCCCTGAGCCATCAGCACCCACAGCCTGGCTGACCCAGCCCCTCCCAACAGGGTCCTAGCAGAACGTCATAAAACTCAGTGTGACTTCAAACCACACGTCCTTTACTGCCCTCAAGCACTTCCCCAGCGTGGAGGTGTCCCAGGGCACCCTTGGCATGGCCCCCACCAGACAGGGTCACCAGACCTCGGGGGTGCTGCTGGGGCCACCCCGAGTCTCGCTCCGTGGGGCCCCATCTCCCCCACCTCTACTAAAGTGTTTCAAATGACAGAGCAGCGATGGTGGGGAACGTGAGGAGGCCGGCGCATTTACGTACAGAATGGAGAAGCCCTCGGCCAAGGAACCCGATTCACAGGAAACACTTTATGTCCTCGTTTATACACGTCATAGTCCCATCCCCAGTGAGCTACACCCTGAGAAGGAAACCGTGAGCGTCTGTGCCGAACTCTGAGACGAGGCTGGACCATGGCGCTGGCGGGAGGCACTCGGGAGGCCGTGAACCCACTTCTCCCCCCGAAAATGCGTCCTTCGTGGCAGGGGAGGGGGACGTC